GTCCAGTCTGAGAATATTGGAGTGGAAATGCTGGTTTGGTTTTTCTTGTAAGAGTTGAGTTGAACTTTTTCTGAAAATGAGATATATATTGAATATAATTAATTTTATTAATATAGTGCAAAGTCACAACAGAAGTGCAGAACTGTACAAAAACATTCACATACATTATAAAAGACAATTAAGAAAAGTTTTCTATCTAAGGAAATCAGCAGATTGTGTTGAATCTTCACTTTATTGTAGTCTCCCATCCTGAGCAAGCACAAAGGAGACATTGGAAAGGAAAAAAAACCTTTAACAGAAAAAAACCTTCTCTTCCTGCTTCCTCTGTTTTCTCTTCCTCCGTGTGTCAGATGTTTAGTTACTCCCCTGCCTTGTTTGGCAACAATGATACATGTAACAAATGTAGTCATATGGTAGCTTTTGGAGGAGAAGCTTGAACTGGAAGCTCGGCTCTGCGCTGTAGAAAAACCAGTAGTTAGCCAGGTCCTCTTAGACAGCGCGGAACCACAGAGGCTAGCTCCCGTTAGTTGTCCTCCAGCAGACCCTGAGCAGCCGGGACCCCAGGCCGGCTGGGCGACTGTTCGGAGCAAGCGTAGTGCTAAGGCTAAGCCCCCAGTTCACCACCGACCCGTTCACGTTTCTAATCGATTTTCCTCACTCAGTGACACACCCATTGAAAAGCTGACCCTGGTTATTGGAAGCTCCATAGTCCAAAACGTGGCTTTAGGGACTCCAGCGGCCATAGTCAAATGCATTCCAGGGGCCAGAGTAGGCGACATAGAATCTTATCTGAAACTGCTGACTAAGGCTAAATACAGTAAGATTGTTATTCACGTTGGCGGTAATGACACTCAGTTACACCAATTGGAGGTCACTAAATTTAATGTTGCTTCGGTGTGTGACTTAGCTAAAACCATGTCGGACTCCATAGTTTTCTCCGACCCCCTCCCCAACCTGATAAGCGATGACATGTTTAGTCGTATGTCATCGTTTAACCGCTGGGTGTCCAGGTGGTGTTCTGACAACGATGTGGGCTACATAGATAACTGGAGTTCTTTCTGGGGAAAACCTGATCTGATGCGGAGTGATGGCATCCATCCCATTTTGAATGGAGCTGCACTTCTTCCTGGAAACTTGGCTGATTTTCTTTGTCCTCCAAATTATTGACAACCAAGGGTCCAGTCCAGGAAGCAGAGTTGTAGTCCTCCACACCTCTCTGCTGCTTCTCCTCTGTTACCCACCCACACCCACATTGAAACATTATCAACTCGACCATGGTTCAAATTAAATAAACCAAAAATCAGCTCTTAAAATATAAACCATAAAAATCTTATTAAAATAAATGCAGTTACTTTACCAGAACAAAATAATAAAATATCAAATGTAAATTATTGAACATCAAATCTCTTTCCTCTAAATCCGTTAGTCAAGTCAAGTTGTGTTTATTTGTCATATACAAAAAGGGAAAGCACAGGGGATAAGCACAGTTTCAGATTGCATAATTATATTGTTTCAAATGCCAGCAAAAGTTATTAATGGGAATGGAGTATTGTTTTTTTATTAGAAGTTTACACTCTGGATTGTTTTGTCTTTAATTCCACTTTCTCTTGTCTTTAACAGAGACAGGAGTGATTGATGTGGAGTCTGTTTTGTACGGACGTACAGACCAAGAGACCTGCAGTGAAGGCAGACATAAAAACCAGTTCACCAACACACAGTGTTCTCAGCAAGGCACTCTAGAAGTCCTCAAGAAAAGGCAACATTGCAGAAAAACAAATGTTTTGAATTCTGTTTAGGTTATTTATACAGTACCATGTATAGCAAAAATGTACTTGTTTCTACAGAGAACATTGATTGCTAATAAAATTGAATGAAACTTGCCTTCCTTAAGAAACTTGTAAGTCCTGCTGCAATGCATGCTTAAGTTTTATAGAAAAAAAATTGTTTCTACTCACAAGTATGCGTTAAGGATGACTCGGAGCTACTTTGACACCAAATGCTAGCTTAATGTTTGCAAATAGATTTAATTATAGCATTTTACATGTTTGATAAATACTCAAAGCTGCCATTGGGACATTTGCAGTTGGGCTAAACGCAGAGGGTTTATAAAATGGGTTTATATAATAATAATAATAATAATAATAATAATTTATTTGTATAACACTTTTTAAACAAATGTTACAAAGTGCTTCACATTATTCAAATAAAACAACATCATAAATGACACCAGAAACACAAAAGTATACCAAATCAATTAAAATACATAATAATATAAGAAAAAAAATGAAAATAAAAATACAAAGAAATTCAGTTATTAAAAGCCTTGTTAGACAAGTAAGTTTTAGCTAATGATTAAAAAAAAAGACAATGAAGAGGCCTGTCTAATATTTAGAGGAAGAGCATTCCACAAATTAGGAGCCCTGACCATAAAACCTCCTTCTGTCACCAGTCGAGCTCTGGGCATGGAAAGTAATAACAAATTTAAGGATATGAGATTGCAAGAAGGGATATAAGAAGTAAGAAGCTCAGATAGATATGATAGCACAAGACCATTCAGGGATTTAAAAACAAACAATAAAATTTTGACGTGGATTCTACAAACCACAGGGAGCCAGTGCAATGAGGACAGAACTGGAGTGATGTGCTGATATTTATGGGACCTTGTGAGAACTCTAGCTGCAGTGTTTTGTACTAGTTGAAGATGATTAAGAGAACTTTGGGGCAGACCAAAAAAGAAAAAGTTACAATAATCAAGCTGACAAGAGACAAAGGCATGAATAAGAGTTTTTGCATCAGTTAAAGAGATAAATGCTCTGATTTTGGCAATATTCCTAATTTGAAAAAAATGCTGTTTTAATGATGCTCTTAAAATGTTTAGAAAAAAATAATATCAGAATCAAAGTTCACCCCCAAATTTCTGGCTCCATGAGTGCAGTTAAAACCAAGAACAGAAAGGGACTGAACCAATAAATCCCTTTTGGCCTTGGGTCCAAACACCATCACCTCAGTTTTCTTGTTGTTGAGTGAAAGAAAATTCTCAGACATCCAGGTTGTCTGTAAGACAGAGGGTAAGTTTATTGAGAGTAGAGAGGTCTGATGGGTTAATAGCCAAATAAATCTGGGAATTGTCTGCATAAAAATGAAGAAACATTGAATTGATGAATAATTGATCAAGTGGTAGCATATAAATGGAAAATAAAATTGGCCCAAGAATAGACTCTTGGGGGATAACACAGGTGATAGAAGGTGAACTGGAGGAATTATTGCCACAAATTACAGAAAAAGTTCTGTCATGAAGATAAGATTTGAATCACCTCAGAGCAATGTCTCTAACACCTAATCGATTTAGCCGGCTCAATAGAATGTTGTGATCAGCTGTATCAAATGTAGCAGAAAGATCCAGGAGCACTAAGACAGTGCAACAGCCAGCATCTGAGTTCATCTTAAAATAATTCACAACTTTTAATAATGCGGTTTCTGTACTGTGATATTGACAACAGCCAGACTGATTTTTTTTCACAAAGCGAGTTTTGGTTTAAATAAGTTGAGATCTGAGAGTACACCACTTTCTCTAAAATTTTCACAAAGTCAAAGTCAAAGTCTCCTTTATTGTCAATTCCATACAATACAATTTTAAAACAACTTCTAACGATTTAGATGGATAGAGCTCGTGGGTAATTTAGAGATCGGCCTGAAGTTGTTAAGATTATTACAATCTAGGTTGGGTTTCTTCAATAATGGTTCAACAGCAGCAGTTTTAAACATTTTGGGAACTACCTCTGTAGATAATGATTTGTTAAAAACTGTTAGAATATCAGGAATTAAAAAGTGATAAATGTCCTTAAAAAAATTTGTTGGTAAAAACATCTAAAAAAGAAGAGGAAGGTTTCATACAGTTGATAGTCCTTACTAACTCAGCCTGAGATAAGAGGTTAAATGAACTGACAAGGTGATTTACTTCCTCATGCTGAAAAGTAGAGGTGGATGGAACAATTTGAGCTCTGAAAGAGATTTTATTAATAAAAATGAACAAAATAACTCACATTTCTCAGAAGAAAATTCATTAGAAATAGGCGATTTGTAATTAAAGAGTTTACAGTGTTGAATAGGTGATTTGTAATTAAAGAGTTTACAGTGTTGAATAACAGTTTTGGATTATGCAAATTTCAAGCATTGAGGGACGAAAAATATTTATATCTTTCTTCTTTAATTACTCGGTTATAATTTTTCAAAAGATTTTTCCTGGTAAAAAAAGTTGCAGCTCCAATTAAGATAATTGTATTTCTGCTCAGCACGTCTACATGGCCTCCCGATGGATCAAACACGATCATGTATCCAAGGTACTGGTTTGGACAAAGCAGAGTGGGATTTAGACATCATATATGCCTTCATGCATCTCCTCCTACATGTCTCTGTGTGAGTGCAGCTACAGCGTGCGCTCTCAGAACATCATTACCTGCAGTGTTCCTTCAGTGAGGACTGAACTAGACAAAAGGACCTTCTCCTACTCTGCTCCGGTTTCCTGGAATATCTTGTAAAAAGACCTG